GGGAGTGCGCCTCTTGTGGAAACCGGCGCACAGCTCAGGAAGGCGCACAGCCGTCTGCGCGGGCCAGCGCCAGTCCTGCTCACTGAAGTCTGCATATCCACGCTGCGGATTGGAACTCAAGTCAGAGTGCCGCTGCGAGGTGGGCTGGGGTGGAGAAAGGTCCGAGAAATTGGCCAGGAGGGGGCGGTTTTGAGATTGTGTCTGCGACAGGTTACCCACCAGCCTAAGGAGTCGCCTCCACCCTCCGGAACTCGCCCATCTCTGCAAGGTGTTACCAGCAGTGACCTGCAAATCTGCACCAAGGACGCAAGGAACCACTCCTCCCATTTATTGGCCTAACCTGAGGGCCAGGCCTGTCTGGAGGCTCTTTGCGGGGAGGTGGGGGGCGGGGGAGACTTTGTCTTTTCCTCCTAGCAGCTAATAATTCTCAGGCAGGAGTTGTCATCCCACTTGGAGAAGGCACTCTGTCCCTTCTGCTTAGCACAATGCCCCGCCCCTCTGGGGGCAGAAACACGACAATTCCCTCCCATTTTGTAGGAGGAAGGCACGGAGAGGTTAAACGATCTTCCTTGGTAGACACAGCCAGGAGGTGCCTGGAATGGAGGTGTGGGCAGTCACCTGATGTCAGGCTGCCTTTCACATCCCCACGGACCTCTCACTCGGGATGACATTTCTGGTCAGAACTGGGAATGGGGAGAGGGAGGAAGATCCTTGCTAGAAAATCCACAAGAAAGAAGGTCCTCAGGAGGGCTGTGAAGTTCTAGCAAGAAAGGAGCTTTGAATCATCATCATTTTTCTACTCCTGTGAGAAGCTGGTTATTTGAGTGCTGCTCATTGTCTGGTGCGATCCTGGGCCCTTTCCCAGCCATGTTTCCATCTTGGCTGCACAGTTGGAATCGCTTGGGGGGAATTTTTGAAATCCAGATGCCTAAAGCAATTAAATCACAATTTCCAGGGGTAGGACCCAGCCTTCCTTGTGTGTGTGAGAGAGAGAGAGAGAGAGAGAGAGAAAGAGAGAGAGAGAGAGAGAGAGAGAGAGAGAGAGAGAGAGAGAGAAAGCGAGCTCCCCAGGTAATTTCAATGTGCAATCATATTTGAGAAACACTGCTTTAGGGAAAATTTATGATTTAATTCTCAGCAACCGCACAAAGTAGATACCATTATGATGCCCATTTCATAGGAAAGAAAGCTGAGGCTTAAAGAGGATGTATATTCAGTCTAAAGTAAGCTCAGAGTCAAAAACAAGTTTCTCTGTTGCCAGAGAACAGGTATCCAACCTCTCTGAGCTGAGTTCCTTCTCATTTTAATAGCCCTCCCCACACACCCCAAATTTTACCCCACTGCAGAGGCACCCTAAGGTTATAGCAGGCAGAGTCAGCCTAAGGTTACAGCAGGCAGAGGCAGGAAGGCCACGGACATTTCCCGACCTCAGGCGGAGAACCTCAGACCGCCTGTGTTCAGGGTCTTGAGTAGAGAGGGAAGCAGAATGGGGACAAGAATAGCATTGGTTTCCTTAGAAAAAGAAAGGACACCAACTGAACCTGGGTCCCAGGTGATGTGTGAGGGTCAAGCCCAGCCACATGGGTATGGCATGGAGGCTGGGGGAGTCTGGAGTGAAAGGGGGAGGGTGAACTAGGAAACCTGACACTGGATTTGAACTCAAAGTCAGAGTGCACAGGGAATGTCACCCTGGGCAAGGCTCTCAACCCCTGGGCCTCACTTTTTTAAAATATGTTTTTATTGATTTTAGAGGGGGAGGGGGAGAGATAGAAATGTTGTCACATTGTTCAGCTACCTCCTGCACACCACCTACTGGGGATGGAGCCCAAAACCTGGACATGTGCCCTGACCAGAATGGAGCCAGCAACCTCTGTGCATGGAACAACACTTAAACCACTTGGCCACACTGGCCAGGCCTCACTTTCCTCTCTGATAAAGTGGTTAGACAGGATTCTTTCTAAATTTGCTTCCTGTGCACACACTTATGGTTATTTAAGGCTCCCATATGAATAAACTCAATTCTGGATTAAATTATAATATAAATAACAATATTTTAGCATTTTCATTATCTCCCACTTGCTTTTCTTGCCTTCTCTGAAAGTAGGAAATGTTACCTGCTTTGATGGTTAGGGAACCTGAGTGAGGATCAGGGTTATTCTGACTCCTCTGCTGGATTCTAGCACTACACATAGAAACACATCTCCTATCAGCCCCTCTGTTCATGGCTGTTGGTCACCCTACAGTTGGAGGATCCCAGGGCATTGGGAGAAGTCAGAATCACTGACAGGATGGAAAACAGCACTTGAGGTTTTAAAAGCATCCTAAAGCCGCTGCAGAATTCAAGCAGGGTCAGGGCAGGTTTTGTGTTTGCGAAGGAGTGGACGGGTAAAGAACTAGCCTTCTAAATGTCTTGTCTCTCAGCCTCAGTTTTTTCATCTTTAGCCCAAGGATTACTTCTGATTCCCAGTGGGGCTACAGATTCATCAATGAATGCCAATAAGTAGGTTTGAAAAGTCTGGGGGTCAGCACTGTGATTTATTTTCCTGGAGGAGGGCCTAGTATGGGGATGCAAAGGGAGTCCTCTCCAAGGCACTTCAACTCTCTACATATATGGGTCTTGTACCTGTGTCCTAATTTCTGACTGCTCGTTAGAATTACCTGGAGACATTTAAAAATAATCATGTTCGGGACTCATTCGAATCAATTAAATCAATAGCTCGAATGGTAAAGCTCAGACATGGGTATTTTTTAAGAAGCGGCCATGATTCTAACGTGCAGCCAAAGTTGAAAGCAGTTGCTATCGACACTTTTAAAGCATCCATAGATGCCTGGCGCTTTAAGAAAACAAGTTCAGTTGGAGATCCAGACGTAAGATTGAAGCCATGTGGCTGCCCAGGAAAAGGGTGCAGAGTCTGAGAGAGCTGAGGACAGAACTCTAGGGAAGCAAACCCCAGAGAAGTGGAAGAAAAGGCTGAACTGGAGGAACTGGAGTTGCAGGAGAAAAACCTGAAGGCATGCCCTCCTGGCAGCCGAGGGAGAAGAGAAGGATGCGGTGGACAGAGAGGTCAACAATGCCAGCGCCGCCACAGGCTAACTGAAGATCAGGGCTGAAAAGTCTCCACTGGATTTGACACCTGAGAAGTCCTGGGTGGCCTCAGCAGAAGAGAAGCATGGTGAGGCCAGGCAGCCGAACTGCGTGAGTTAGGAAGTGAATGGAAGCGAGCCCAGAGGGACAAGGCCACTTCTTTCCCCACGCCAAGGACAATCATGACTGGGACGGATCTCTGCCCCAGAAAATATAAGCACCTCTTCACCACTCCACTGAAAATATAAAAATAATCTGGCTGCTATTTTTTTTAAAAAAAAAAATATTCTTCTTGATTTTAGAGAGAGTCAGGGAGAGATAGAAACATCACTGAGAGAGAATCATCGATTGACTGCCGCCTGCACGTCCCCTACTGGGGATTGAGGCTGCAACCCAGGAATCAAACCGTGACCTCCTGGTTCATGGGTGGGCACTCAACCACTGAGCCTCACAAGCCAGGCCCCACTGCTATTTTCGATGCAAGTTGAATGGGCTCTCCCTCACAGGTACAAACATGAACGGGAGCACCGAGAGTATTATATGCCAGAGGGAAGTCAAGCCAAAACTCGGAACCAGACCATAAAACCTAGTCCACTGGAGCCAGGTGGCAAGCTAAGCAAAAGCAGCCATGACTCCAGGCCACAAGAATCAGTGTAGAGGCTGCCAAGCCATGGAGGCCTGACTGCTGCCTGACAGGAAGCCGGTGGAGCAAAAAAGCCCACGCTCCTCTCCCAGAATGGTTGACCACTATAAGGCAAATCGGAGAGCCTACAATGAGAGAAAACCCACAAAAACACCAAAAAAAGAAACAGAAGGAGCCCTATGTGAACAGCCCGGTGCTGTCAAGTACGACCAAGAACCTAAGCAGCTGAGAGGAGGCTGGTGTCTTACCTTCACCCGCCTTGGGCAGGGCAGAGACCAGCTGTGCAGCCAGGAGGGAGGGGCCGCAGGCAGGTGGGTGGTCTTGTCTCCTTTGCTATGCCTTCCTGTCTTTAGCCCCCTCTCCTGGAGGCCCTGCCCACTCCTCCTCTTCTAATCTGACCCTGACTGTGATCCAAGGCGCTGCTGGGCACGCTAGGACCCAGCAGGCTTTCAGGCTGGGCCTGCAGCTACAGAGTTGTGGGGAAAATCTGGACAAACTCCACCACACTGTCTCCTCCAGTGGCTGCTTGGCTTACTTTAAAAAGACAAGGCCAAATCAGAATAGCAGTTCCCTTGGGGGCTGGGATGGCTAGAAGGGGACAGAAAGGGGTGTCCTCTTTCTTGATTTGGGTGCAGGCTAGCGATTAGGGTTATAAAAATTCATTGTGCTTCGTGACTTGTGCAGTTTTCTGTTTGTATGTGGACTGAGTGATTGTACTTCCATAAAAAAAGTTGTTGTGTGTGCATTTTAAGGCAATGAGGAGCATGCTCAGTAGCCCACTGTCTCCAGGCCCCAAAATACCACCCTGCTATTTCTCTCTCTCTCCAGGCAATGGCCTACAATTTTCCTCTTGCCCTGCAACCACCACCATGCAATTTGCACCTCACTAATTTCCTGGCTAAGCCTTAATGCTGTGTGGTCACTGCTCCACCCTCCCTGAAAGCAGCGATCTGATGTCAGTCCTGCCCAGCTGTTTGCTGTTTGGGGCTTAAGGGGTCCCTCTGATTGGGCACCTGTGACCAGGGTGATCCTTTTAGAAATTCAGCTTTAAGGAATCACACGAAGGGGTTGACGCTCTGGTGACACAAAATAACTGTGTCACAGCTTTCGCAAAACCTATGGTGTGAATGGAACTGAGATCGCTTTGGAGTTGTTCTGAACAAGCAAAATATTACATTTCCTTTAGGTTTGAGGGGGTGTCGCTTGGCAGGACTGAGTGATTGATGCTTTTACTCTAATTTTCTGCTCGCTGAAGCGTTAAAGCGACAACCCTAAAGTCAGAAGAAAGCCAACAGCATGGGCACAGAGCACTTAATCCCAATCTACAAATAAAGAGCTTTTATTAGGCCTTCTTTCCTTCCCATTTTGCCTCAGATCTCAAATTGTCTTTTGTAGGGACTTGCCAAAAAACAACTGTAGCTGATTGTGAAGTCCTTTCACAGGTGGCAATTAAAACAGCTGAGTTCTCCTCCGTAATTAAGGGTTAGGAAAACTATATATAAGTGGTGAGTAAACACCAAAGGTACTTTATTTATGCTTCCTGATTCTTAAGGCAGGGTGGGTTAGTGGAAAAATTCACTTGGGTTAGATGTCAGAAAGGCTAGGTTCTGGTACAGATTAGCTATGTGACCTCAGATAACTTAGCCTCTTTGAGCCTCAGTTTTCTAATCTATAAAATGAGAGGACTGGACTAGACAAGGGTTTTTATGCTGTTCAAAATTCTACTAATCAATGATATTTTTACATAGCTTAAATATACATTCATCTACCTTCGTTAAATGTGTTTCTTTTTGTAAGAAGAAATCCCGATCACCTGGAGATGAATGTTTATTAAGCAAATATTTATTTAACACATTCTATGCTAGCACAAAAGACTGTTCTTATCCTGAGGTGTTTGTGAATATTCAAATAGTGCGTGTGGCACGTATCTCCTTTGAAAGACAATGATAGTAATGAACATGTAACTCCCTCTGGTCTGAGCATGGACAAGGCATAAACTCCTAACAGTTCTGACCCAAGTTCATGTCCTGATTCCTTCACAGTATTTTGTTTAAAAGTCACCTCTGTAAAGTTTCAGTCTAAAATGTCTTACGAGGGTTTTCGAATGAGTTTAGAAAATTTGCTCAGTGCAAAATATATGCAAACTGACATTTGATTTGCTATTTTTTATTAAACTTGTTGGGGTGACATTGGTCAAAATGAACATATAGGTTTTAGGTGTGGGTTTCTATGTTACAAGATCTGTATAGATTGCACCATGTGTTCACTTCCCAAAGTCAAACCTTCTCTTGGCGCCATGTATTTGGAGTCTCTTCTCCCCCCACCCCCTTGCTTCACTATTGACCTTAAATTGCTCAAGATCTATTTGGCCATTTGAAGGTTTTCTGTGTGTACACACACACATACACACATACACACACACACACACACACACACACACACTTGTATTAATAAACATTGGATACATACATTTGTTTGTGCTTTTTATTAAAAAAAATAATAAAGCTCCCTACCTAAGAATTACAAGCATATTTTCACTGTTAGGTGCTTGCACCCCTGAATATATAGCCATATCCACACACTCTGTGGATCCCTCAGACTGTGGAGCTGCCCCTGTGGCAGGTCCCCTACCAGATCTGTCTCCACCAGCTCCTCCTCCAGGAAGCAGCACGCAGGCAAGTTCCCCTGCCAGAATTGGCTACATAATTTGTGGGGCCCAGTGCAAAATTGAAATGCAGGACCCTTTGTTTAAAAATCATTTAAAATTTCAAGATGTCAACAGCAGAGCATTAAATCAAGTGTGGGGACCTTCTAATACTGCACATCCATAAAAGCAGCCCCACCCTCTGCTTTGCCTGTCAGTGCTGCTGAGAAAGGGCATGCATCAGGGCAAAGGACTGTGTGTCCAGGCAGCTCCAAGGGCACCGCCTCACTCTCACTGCCATGAGCTCAGGTTCCCACCAGTCCTGCCTCTGCAGGCCAACAAGGATGGAAAACTAGAGAGGATGGCAGAGCAGGGTGCACTAAAGTGGCTCATCTTCAGTATCAGGGAATGTCAGCAAGGACTGTCAGATACCACATCACCCAGGCCCTCACTTAAACAAAATAATTAGAGGTTGTGGGGAGTGAAAAGCATTCAGGTTGCAGGCATCTGACCTTCCTCTCTCTCCTCCTGGGCCTGGATTCTGAGCTCCTCATTGAGGCACTCCTTGGCTTGCGGGCAGAAGGGGCCAACCACAGATTTGTCACTTGGAGAAGAACTATTTATCTCCTCAGGGTCCAGCTTGTAGACATTGACAGCCCCTTGCTTTACAGGTGAGGAAATTGAGGCCCAGAAAGGTGCGATGCTTCTACCAAAACTGCAGAACCAGTTAAAGCCAAAGCTGAGGTCAAACCCAGACTTGAATGCTAGTGCAGGCACTTCCTGCTAACACACAGATAATCACTGCTCGATGGAACAGTCCTCTGGGAATGTACCTCATTTATTATGAGGGGCATGCTTTGAAAGGTTCTTGAGTTCCGGCAATAACCTCTATTTGAATTCTTCCCGTTGAAGATGAGGAAGGAGGACCTAGGGCAGTGATGGCGAACCTATGACACATGTGTCAGAGGTGACACGCGAACTCATTTTTGGTTGATTTTTCTTTGTTAAATGGCATTTAAATACATAAAATAAATATCAAAAATATAAGTCTTTGTTTTACTATGGTTGCAAATATCAAAAAATTTCTATATGTGACACGGCACCAGAGTTAAGTTAGGGTTTTTCAAAATGCTGACACGCCGAGCTCAGAAGGTTCGCCATCACTGCCCTAGGGTGTGAAGCTGCAAAGGCTCCTCAGCCTGTCTTCAATGTGCCCAGACTCCTCTTCTTGGGCCCTTGTCGCCATGGGGGCAGCTCACAACCCTTAAGCTCTCCAAGCTGCACTCCTCCCTCTTCGTCCAGTTTGAGGGGTTGAGGCTTCTGGTGTGAAGGGGTTCCAGTCACTGAACAGGTGGTTTCCCAGCTGGGGGAGGTGGGGACCTTGGAGCTCTCTAGAGAGGAGTCCAGGGAATGGGACGAGAAGAGGGAAGGAGAAAACAGGAAAGAAAACCCCCTTCTTTGGACCCAGGAGGCACATGCTCAGAGAATCTAGAATCCCAGATTGAGAAGGGATGGCAGACGCAGGGCCTACCTCACTCTCACCGACATTCAACCCAGACCAGGCAGGTGCTTTGCCCAGGTCACAGACTGAAAGTCATGGCTTCCAATTTCCATCCCAGCCTCCTCCCACTTGGCCATTCTGTCAATGGCCCATCCACTCTTTTACTTTAAAATCTTTATCTTGGAGCTTTTTATCCTTCCAATGTATCTTTATTAAGCAAGTGCCCCCCACCCCCCGCAAAAAAAATAAATAAATAAACCACACCAAGAAAACAAACAAAAAAACTGCCATAACCTATGCCCCAAGGGTGAGCTGCTGCCAGCACTCTGGCTGGTGGAGATCCTTCCCGGCTGGCTCTGAAGACCACTAGCATCTCCTAGACCTGGGCTGCCTCCTGCAGGCAGGCCCTGCACCCGCGGCTCTGGCTGAGCTGGGACAGCGCTGCTTGCTCAGCTTCCTTGTTCTTAGCCTCCCCTTGCTCTCCTCCCATCATTCCTGTATTCCGGCTGGTTTGAGGTTAGCTCCATTGGTGTTTAATGATTTTCCATGTCACACCGCCACCCCGTTACCCACATCCCCATGCCTCCAGGGTGATTTCTCCTCCAACTGCTGAGTCTCCGATGAGGGCTGCCTGCCTCTGGAATGCACTCTGTCAGGCAGGAGAAGTGTCAGCGTGCAGAGCGAGCGGATTGAGGCGAAGTGTGTGCCTGTGAGCCAGCCTCAGCTCAGCTCGGACAATGGGACTTTTATTTCTGGCCTGGCTCAGCTGGCAGTCTCTCTCCCACTCTCTGTCTTGGTTGGGCTTTGGTTTAAAGTTACCCTTTCAGGATTAGGTTGGTGTTTTCTTTCCCATGCCACCAGGGAAGTTTCTGTTTCCGAAGTGGACTGTACACAGACAGGTCAGTTAGTCACAGACCTCTGCTGGATCACAAGCATCGCTGTTCAAAGGCCTCGCTAAATCACCCAGGCACACGGAGGCCAACCTAACTTGCTTCTTGCCATGTGGAAAGGCACACTGCAGCACAGGCTAATCTTGAAATTACTGTTTTCTATTTGGTATATATTATTATAACCAACCCCCCTCTCTCACCACCACCACCACCAAGGTTTTCACAGAAAATCCTGGAAAAAGAACTGCTGGGGATGGGAGGGGTGTCTGTGTAAGCAGCCTTGGCTCTTTGCTCCTCATTTTTATACCTTCAGTCACCATAAAGTCTGGCCATCCAGGACACCCACATCTCCCTTTTCCTGAAACTCAATGAAAAAACAAATGAAACAACAACAAGAAGTGTTTGATTCCTTTTAACCCCACTGAGATAGGCTAGCATTTAAAAAAAAGAAATACTGGAAACCCTGGGGAGTGGAGGCTTTCTGTGAAATCACAGACTTTCTGTGAAATCAGTGAGGCTCTGTAGGAAGTCCCAAGGCCTCCAAGACCCTGTCCCTCTGGGGCTGGCACAACCTTGCCCCAGGCGTTTCCGTGGCAACGTGGCTGGCCCTTTTTATTTTCTAATTGGGGAATCTGTGCCCCATAAACACCCCCAACCCAGATATGAGACCTCAGCTTCCACACAGGGGTATCTTGTAGAAGCCCCCTTGCAAGCGTTCAGTCTGGCGTTAATTTAACCACACGCATAGCTCCACCCACACCGTAAGAGTAGGCACATTAAGAACAAGGGGAGGCTTCTCTCAGCAGAATTAATTTATATGGCACTTCATCTTTTTTTTTTCTTTCCTCTTCTCTTTAGCACAAAGGTAATACCTACTTATAGGAAGGGCACAGAGTCAGCAAATCACAAGAAAATGCATTCCTCTCATCCCTTTTCCCCAAACCGCCCTCCCAGGAATAGCCAGGACTAACAGTTTGGTGTTTATCTGTCAGATCACAGACACTGTCAGTGACCCAAAGAAATACTCCAGGGACAAGCTTTTGTTTTTGATGTCTTTTTTTCAGCTTTTGTTTTAAAACTTTATTAAGAGAAATTTTCATACAATAAAATACGCCCATTTTATTGTTTGGTTTGATGGGTTTTGGGTGAATGTGTACACACCCTCATTACCACCACCATGCTCATGACATGGAGCATTTCCAGTAAGTCTGCTGTGCTCTAATGGCAACCTCCCACCCAGTCCCAGCACCCGCTGCTCCGCCCTCTGTCATTACAGATTAATTCTGCTTTTTCTAGAATTTCACATACTCTTTTGTATCTGTTTTTCTTTTTTTGCAGTAGAGTGTTTTAGAGACTCATTCATGTTGTTATGTGTATATCAATAGTTTGTCCTTTTCTTATAAAAACTTTTTTAAAATTGATTTCAGAGAGAGGAACGGAGAGGGAGAGAAATAGAAATATCAATGATGAGAGAGAACTATTGATCAGCTGCCTCCTGCATGCCCCGTACTAGGGATTGAGCCAGCAACCCAAACATGTGCCCTGACCTGGAACTGAATCATGAATTCCTAGTTCATAGGTCGATGCTCAACCACTGAGCCACACCAGCAGGGTAGCAGCCTGTCCTTTTCTATTGCTGAGTAATATTCCATTACATGCATGTAACAATTTCTTCATCCTCTCATCTGTTGCTGGACATGTGAGTTGTTTCCAGTTTTTGGACTATTATAAATGGCCACAAAAGCTGTTATGTTATTGTTTCTAATCATGAAAAGAGAGAGAGAGAACACATCTAAATTTAGTTCAGGCCTATATATTTCAGAATTTAGTAATCACCAGGCATATTTCCAAGGCAAATATCTCTATGTGAGCAAAAGTACAGATGAGCTATTTTAATCATGTGTATAATGATGAAAATTGTTAGCATTACACTTCCAATTTGCTAGACACAATTTTCAATGTGATCACTGGCAGTGACTTGACACTGTTTAGAAATTCTATAAATGCCAGGCTCTTAATATGTTCTTTCTCAATTTCCAAATAATTTAGGGACATGTACTAGTATATCTCAAGGATAAAGTATCACTGTTTCACAATACTGTAGTAATTGAGTCATTTTTCTAAAAGAAATGGCTTTCACAAAATTTTGTGCTACTGTGGTCTGAAGTTGAGAAACAGCAGACTCAGAAGGTCACCTGCCCTTGGTTTTGCCTATCACAGGCAACTCAGTACCTGCTTTTCAACTGTAGGTTTTGTAAGACACTTGCAAATACATTTGTTTCTTTTTTTAAATTTTATTTTATTGATATTTTACAGAGAGGAAGGGAAAGGGATAGAGAGTTAGAAACATCAATGAGAGAGAAACACCAATCAGCTGCCTCCTGCACACCTCCCACCAGGGATGTGCCTGCAACCAAGGTATATGCCCTTGACCAGAATCGAACCTGGGACTTTTCAGTCTGCAGGCCGACGCTCTATCCAGTGAGCCAAACCGGTCAGGGCTACATTTTGTTTCTTGACTGCATATGTTAACCCTTCAAGCAGCATAGAAGTAGGAGCCCTAAGGCCTCCCTTATAGAAGGAGAGCTCACTGAATAGCAGCACCCATGGGCCCCCTCCATGTGTTCATGAGCAACAGCGTCCCAGTCAAACCCTATGGTCAAAGTCTGTTTCCTAATGACTGCTTCAATTATAGTAAAGATTTATTGATTACTCCCCTCAACATCAATCTTGATTGGCTAGCAATAAAAGGAATTATTCATTCCATTAAATTGATTATTAAAATATATCAAGACTTTTTATACGCTAAAGAAGAGAAAAAGGAAGCAAAGAGCTGTGAAAGAACTACGATGCAGGCATTTGCAAGATAGTGACAAGGGACACAGAGCCTAAGGAACTGGCTGCCTTGGGAAGCTGGTTAATTCTCTTTGGTTTCTATGTGAGCTGCCTGATCAAAGCCACATGGGTTACTGACATTCAGCAGAGAGTTAACGTAGACAATGTCCTATTGGTCCTGCAGCCAAAGTAAGTCTGTCCTCTGACTCTGCTCTACTTGCAGAGATCTGGTCTCCCTGGATGAGTCCTGTGGCACCTAAGTCAGCCCCATGAAGAAACTGCCTGGGGTGACTTCCTGAGCATGACTTCCCAGCCTCACTTCCCCCTTCATGGTCTGCAAGGAGGGACAGGCTGGCTCCACTGGTACCCACAAGACATGAGGGACCCTGCTAATAGTTCCACCCATGAAACATTGACCTGTGTGCCTGCTCACACAGATCATTGGATTCCTGATTTAGATCAAGTTTTAGGAAATTTAATAAGAACTATTCCCAGGGACCCCTCAAAGACAGGTCTGCTGTATATACATCTATTAATTCAAAAGAGCCCATTAAAAAAAGGACCTTGAAAAATATATAAAGTAGATAGCACCGAAACATGGTTTGTGTTACTCTGCTGACTTCATGAGGTAATTTGGATGATGGAAGACATGCCACCCAAAAACCAAAATCATCTAGTGAAGTGGTAGAATAAACCTACACATTCAAGCCATGACGTCCATGCCTCTAGCCAGGAATGCAATTTTCCCCTCTTTCAAATTATTCATTTCCTTTTTAATAGGTCACGTCTCATTTACCTTGATTTAGCATCAGACCAAGTACATTTATATATTTGGTGTGGGGGAGAAAAAAGGAGAAGGAAAAAGAACAGGAGGGAACTTTATGTGAAATATGGTGACCCCGTCCTTAAACTCCACATCCACGCAGGTCAAGACTTGGACCACGTCTTTGATTCTTTTTCTATTGTGGAAAGAGTATAGGCCTCCCCTATGTTTATATACCTGAAAGAATAATGAGAAGCATGCTTGAAAATACTGTTTGATGAATAACGCTTTAGCATGTGTCACTGTGAGGAAGTATCATAATGCGTATTTCACCACAAAACTAAGGAGAATATTTAGAAAGAAAACCCCACTGTAATGTGAAAAATAGACCAACCCCTACATCTGTCTACAGGATGAATAAATCACTAAACAAATATCTTAATGGCCTTAAAATATAATGAAAAGGGACAATTCCCTAAGGTAGTTGGTTTGAGTCTTCATTAGAAGGTTTATTTTCTTTGAATGTATAGAATGTCCTATGTCTATAATTGCAATTATGACAAATTTACAGGGAAAACATCACATGACTACATCATGTTAAATGGGCATTCTACACATGATAAGGAATAGAAATAAAGCACTGAGATGAGGAATAGGCTGTAATGATCAACCTTGATGAAGGAAATGCCACAATCTGAGGTTCCAATTCTGACAGGAACTTTAGGTAACTTTTAAAAATCCATCTAGAGCCCTAACTGCTTTCCCCTACACTACCCTTTGTATTACATTGCTTCCTATTGTACTTACAAGCTTGTAAAGTGAGCGGAGCTTACTATACCTGTTGAATAAACAAATATTGGACCTAATGTGGTTCTTAAGACTCTACTAACTTTTATATAGCACTCCCTTTTTTTTTCTTTTAAATTACCACTGGCCTGGTTAGAGATCGTTTAATGAAAAGTAAGGAAATTATTATGATCTGCAGACATGATGAACTTTTTTTAAATTAAAAAGAACATTTTTCTGATTAGAATGCTTATTAGAATGCTTTGGACATTTTATGCCAAGTCTAAAAAATTATTTTTAACCAAAAAAAGCAATACAAACTTGCCTCACCAAGCTAAACACAGAAATGCATACATTATGCCAAAGGTGGTAGTATTCTTATTGAAGTCAGTCTCCATCCTCAGAGGTAACCATCATAAACAGGGCAATGTGTAAGCTTTCAGCACTTTTTTTAAAATGTGTTATTCTAAGTGCATAGAGAGAAATTTTTTAATATAAGCAAAAAAAAAAGTATCATGCTATACACATTGCTTTTCAGTTTGCTTTTCTCTTAGGTTCATGTGATAGACCAGGTTCCAGACTGGCCTTCAAAAAGGGAAGTTTCATTCATTAATCCATTGGACAAACATTTCCTGAGCCTCCACGATGTGCCTGGCCTGTTCTGGGCATGGGGCATATAGCAAGGAGTCCCTGCCTGTGGCTGACCTCCCTGGATTAGGACTCAGCATCTCACTATGAATGTTTGTCACCTACTTCTTCAAACTTGGGGAACACACACTTTAGTTACTAGAAGAAGTATCTGATTGCAACCTTTCTTGGGGTACTATGCACTAAGTTATAAAATTACCTGAATTAAATGTATTAGCTAATAGGACTTTATTACATACTAGAGGCCCAGTGCATGAATTTGTGCATGGGTGGGGTCCCTCTGGGTGGCCTGCAGGGATCGGTCCAAAACCCCGCAGTCCAATGCCACCTGCAGCTCCTACCTGCTGCTCCCGCTCATCATCCTGGCCCCACTGTGCCTGCCGAGGGCTTGAGCCCAATCAGTCCCTGGAGAGGCTCACAATGCCGCAGCAGTGCTCACCAGCCATGAGCCCTGTGTCTGGCGCCCTCCCAAGCGGAGTGGCCTGCTGGATCAGGCTGAAACCTGCTCTCCAACATCTCCTGAGGGGTCCCAGATTGTGAGAGGGCGCAGGCCAGGCCGCGGGACCCCACTGGTACACTCGGGCGGGAGAGGGACTATGGGAGGGCTCCAGGGCATGTCTGGCCCATTTCGCTCAATCCCGATCGGCAGGACCCCAGCAGCAAGCTAACCTACCGGTTGGAGCATCTGCCCCCTAGTGGTCCATGTATGTCATAGCAAGTGGTTGAGCAGCCTTAGCATTTATTAACATATTATGCTTTGATTGGTTGTTCAATTGTTCTGCTGTTCAGTCTATTTGCATATTACCTTCTTACTATATAGTATATCTAATCTAATAAAAGAGAAACATGCAAATTGACCATACCTCCACTACACCCACAAGCCACTCCCACAAGCCATGCCCACCCACCAATCAGGAGCGAGTATGCAAATTC